CAGGAGGATCGCTGCGAGTTCTCAGCCACCCGGGGGATATTTAGTGAGAGACCTCTCAATAAAACGGAGACGTGTTAAAACGAACGGATGGCGGGGGAGAACTTTTATTTATTATTATTATTTTTGGCTTTTTCGAGACAGGGTTTCTCTGTATTGTTTTGGAGCCTGTCCTGGAACTCACTCTGTAGACTAGGCTGGTCTCGAACTCACAGAGATCCACCTGCCTCTGCCTCCCGAGTGCTGGGATTAAAGGCGTGCGCCACCAACGCCCCCGCCCGGCGGGGTTGAATTTTTTAAAGAAAATAGCTTCAGACTCGCCAGCAGAAAACGTTAACAGATTAGATATAAAAATAAATAATAATAATGGCTGGAGAGATGGCTCGGTGATTAAGAGCACTGGTTGCTTTTCCAGAGAAAGAGGTGCAATTCCCAACACCCGCAAGGAAGCTAACAACTGTCGGCCATATCATGATCTGACACTCACTCAGACATATAAGCAGGAAAACACCCATACACGTAAAAAATGTACACTAAAAAAAGACAGTAAGGGGGCTGGAGAGATGGCTCAGAGGTTAAGAGCACGGACTGTTCTTCCAGGAGTCCTGAGTTCAATTCCCAGCAACCGTGTGTTGGCTCACAGCCATCTATAATGAGATCTGGTGCCCTCTTCTGGTATCCAAGGCTGAATGCTCTATACATAATAAATTAACCTTAAAAACAATTAAGAAGCCAAGCCGGTGGTGGCACATGCCTTTAATCCCAGCACTCCGGAGGCAGAGGCAGGCGGATATCCGGGCTGGACCGACAGCCTCCAAAACAATACAGGGAAACTCTATCTTGTAAAACAACAACAAGAAAGTAGAAGAATAAAACCAGGGCAGCCAAGAGTATGTTAAGGTGACAGGGGGAAACGCAAGAGGTAAAAGCAACTTGAGATTTTAGAGTCATCAAAAGGAACCTGCTAGTTTTTTCTTTGAACCGAATTATTCAGTCTCCGTAGAGACTGTCAAAAATTGCCAATGCCGACTATATTGCAAGTCGTCACGGCGGGGTATTGGGAAAAGTTTTCAATTAGCAATAATCGCGCCTCGGATAAACCTCATTGGCTACGATACTGCCACTGCGCAAAGCTAAAGATTGCCCCGCCCTGGGCATCATGCCTAGGAAGAGCGGGTCCTATTTCAAAGAGGGGGTTTCAGGGCGAATGGGAAAAACCTTCAATTATTGTTACCCTTAAAATCATACCACCTACTATAATCTTATGGTGCTCTCTTTGTGATACGTAGAAGGGAGATAACTGGTTTTATTTAAGTAAGTTTACGTGGAGGACGTGCCGCAAAGCATTATGGGAACGAACATGCTAATAGACTCGGTTCCGAGAGTGCAAGTGGAAATCGGAGAAAAGGGCTGGAGTCCAGGTGTTCCTTTGGCTCAGTGTTACCATCTTTTGCAAGGAGGCTTTCTTGTTTATGATTTTATACACTATAAAGTATGTGTGTAAAGTCTGTATAACATAAAATGTAGTTTTAACTATCTTAAGAGTAAATTAAGTGTCGTTGACTATATTAACCTATATCTCCAGAACCTTTCGATCTTCCCAAACTAAAACTTTGTAGGCATTGAACTCTGAGCTCTCTAGCCCCTTTTCAGACACATAAGGACTGTGTTCCTCTTGCTGTAAGAATAATTTTAAAGCTGGGTGTGGTGTCACACACCTTTAATCCTAGTATTTGGGAGACAAAGGCAAGTGGATCTCTGTAGAGTTCGAGGTCAGAAAAGACGAGAGAGAGAAAGAGAGAGAGACAGACAGATAGACAGAGACAGACACAGAGAGAGAGGCAGACACAGACACAGAGAGACAGAGACAGACACATAGAGAGACAGAGAGACAGAGAATGAGAATTATTGTTAATATTTATTTAAGGTATGAGTGTTTTCATCCACATTTGTGTCCCCTGGGAATGACTGTGGAGGTCAGAAGAGGATATCAGATATCACGGAGTCACACACGTTTGCGGGTGCTGGGAACCAAACCCACACACTCTACAAGAACAGCCAGTGCTTTGACAGCTGAATCATCTCTCTCCAGTCCTTTACTGCAACTTTTTGTGTGTGCGTCCATCTGCCTCCCAAGTGCTGGGATTAAACACCACCCGCCTACTATAACATTTTAATGTAATACACATCTGGATTTCATGCCTTCTTTTTTGTTTGTTTGTTTTTTTTGTTTTGTTTTACAAGACAGGGTTTCTCTGTATTGTTTTGGAGGCTGTCGGTCCAGCCCGGCCTCGAACTCACAGGGTTTCTCTGTATTGTTTTGAAGCCTGTCCTGGAACTCACTCTGTAGACCAGGCTGGTCTCGAACTCATAGAGATCCGCCTGCCTCTGCCTCCCGAGTGCTGGGATTAAAGGCGTGCGCCACCAACGCCCGGCTTCTTATGGCTTAATAATTTCCCATGTAATGGGATTTTGTTTACCTCTTCATTCTTCAATTAGCAATAATGGCACATCGAGTAGCCCTCACTGATTGTACACTTGCGTTGTTTGAACCTTTTGTCTAACATAAATAATGCTGATATTAATGTGCAACTACCAGTTTGAGCTCCTGCTTTCAATTGTTTTTTATTACATTTATTTATTTATTTGCGTGTGCATGTATATGTAGATCTGGGAAGGTCCTCTCCTTCCACTCTGTGGGTCCTAGGGATTGAATTCACCCCTGTGATTAAAGGCCACCACATCCAAGCCCTCCCCTTTGTGGTATGAGAATTGAAACCCAAGGTTTGTGCATGGTGGGCTTCCTAACCCTTTTGTGAAAATACTGTAATTCTGAGGAGAGAGGCTAAGTGACTTTATCCCCCAGAAATGCTGCAGCATATAAAATGTGAAGTCATTTTCTCTGCCTGCTTTACTTTGGCGAGTGGAAAGCTGCTCATAACCCGTGTCTGGACTTCTTCCCTGAGGGGTGTTGGCCATTTTATTTGATGTTTGCTACTTATTAAAATTCAAACAGTATAGGCAGGTGGTGCATGCCTTTAATCCCGGCATTCAAGAGTCAGAGGCTAGTGAATCTCTTGTTAGTTGGAATCAACCTGGTCTACAGAGACAGTGCTAGGACTGTTCTACAGAGAGACTCTGTCTTGAAAAAGAAATCCAACAGTAGCTGAGCCTTTGATCCCAGCACTTGGGAGGCAGAGGCAGGTGGATCTCTGTGCTTTCTGGTCAAGAGAGTGAGTGCATAAGACTCTATGTTTTGTTTTGTTTTTTGGAGGCATGTTTTTTTTTCTCTGTGGCTTTGGAGGCTGTGCTGGAACTCACATTTGTAAACCAGGCTGGCCTCAAACTCACAGAGATCTGCCTGCCTCTGCCTCCCGAGTGCTGGGATTAAAGGCATGCACCACCAACAGCCCGGCTGTCTCTATGTTTTATACTTGGATTTGTTCATACTGACTTCAGAAACCTCCATTTTTCAAATATATGGACATATTTCTTCATAATCCATATTGATTGTCTGGTGTGTGTGTCATGTGAGCATATGTGTAGGGGAGCCATTGGAGGCCACGGGGGAGTGTTGGGGAATCCCCCCTTTTTTTTTTAAAGATTTATTTATTAATACAACATCCTGCTTCCATGTATGTCTGCATGCCAGAAGAGGGAACCAGATCTCATTACAGATGGTTGTGAGCCACCATGTGGTTGCTGGGAATTGAACTCAGGACCTCTGGAAGAGCAGTCAGCGCTGTTAACCTCTGAGCCATCTCTCCAGCCCCGGGAATCCCCTTTTATTACCTCCTACTTTATTCCTTTTGAGGCAAAGTCCCACTAAACCCTGAGCTCACATACTTCCACCAGGCTGAGAGTAAACAAGCCCAGCAATCCTGTTTCCCTCTGCTCCCCTCTGTGTGCTGGGATGACAGGTTAGGAGGTGCTGGAATCCACATTCACGTCCTCATGCTTCAGCCGCAATTGCGAACCACCGAGTCATCTCTCTAGCACCCGTGAGCCATTTTTTTTTTAAGAATAAAAATGCGGGGCAAAGGACAACTTTGTGGAGTCTGTTCTCTCCTTTCTGTGGGTCCCAGGGATCAAAGTCTGCTTGCTAGGCCTGTGTAGCACTTTACCTGCTGAGTCACCTGGCAGACCCTAATCCATGCTTAACTCAGCAGGGAATTTAATTGTTTTGCAGTGGAAGGGGAAAGTGAGTCAGTTCTGTCAACCATGGCGGTGCATGCCTTTATACAGTTCTGGGGAGGCAGAGGCAGGCGAATCTCAGTGAGTTCTAGGTTAAACCTGGTATACATAACAAGTTCCGGGCCAGCCAAGGCTACATAGTAAAACCCTGTTTCAAACAACAAAACAAGAAAAAACAGAAAAAAGCCACCCCAAAACAGGAAGAAAAGAAGAAAACAAGTCACTTTTATATTATTAAGTGTCTTTTAGGCGGGTATAGTGACACATGCCTTTAGTCCCAGCACTCAGGAGGAGGCAAACAGATCTGAGTTCGAGGCCAGCTTGGTCTATATACTGAGTTCCAGGACAGCCAGAGATACAAAGAGAAACTCTGCCTAAAAAACAAACAAACAAACAAAAAAAAAAACCCAGAATGAATTCCTAAAGTAGGGCTGTTTAGATGCTATCGTGCACGCAGGACATTGGAAATTAACCATTTCTTTGCCGGGCATGGTGGGACTATCCTGTTATCCTAGCACCTCACAAGGAGATCAGAAATTTGGAGTCATAGCCTGCTGCATGAGACCCTGTCTTAAAAAAAACAACACAACACAGAAAGACCAACCACCAAACAACCAAACACAAAAACCCCAGAAGGCACTTATTGTCTCAGGTGTCAGCAGCATATCCGGAACCTTAACTGAGCGGACCAGGAAAGACAAACGGAAGTCAGGGGACGACCGCGGTAGGACCTTAGAGTGGGAGACCCGCAGGGTTGTGGGACTTGTAGTTTTCTTCCAATTATGTCTGCTTTCACGGACTACACTTCCCAAGATGCACACGTAGCAAGACAGTCCCAATGTTGGGCGAAAATTGTGGTAGGTAAGTGGTGTTCTGATCGGCTTTAGGTTCCCAGCCTTGCATTTTTACGAGGGATTCCATTTGTCCTCTTTGTTCCTGTGCGGGCACGGAGGAAAAGAAAACAGCATGTTTAGCTGTTCACGTGCAGTTGCGGAATGTCACGGAGAAAGCCGGGTCCTGACTCATGTGTAGGAAGCCGCTAGGTAATTTCTGCATTGTGTCGAAGACTTGTTTTTACAACTAGAAAACTTGACAGGCAAGTGTGTGTGTGTGTGTGTGTGTGTGTGTGTGTGTGTGTGTTTCTGTGTTCAAACAGCAGAATTTACAATGCACAGTAAACAGATATTTTGGGGGTAAATGAAGGAATTGAGGTGTGTATGGGAAAACACGAATAAAACCAAAAGCCTGAAAGATCAGGTCAAGGTCCTGAAAATCTGCCATATTGGGCTGGAGTATAGCTCGGTGATAGAATGACAGATTGCATAGTGTCGCAGAGGTCCTGGGTTTGATACCCAACACCATGTAGGAAAACAAAACAAAACAAACAAACAAATCAAAAAACTTACCTACTAGAATTCAAATGTCTCAAGGAGAAATAAGATCATTCCGGTTTAGCTGGGTGTGCCCCGGTAATCCTTGGCCCGGGCAGGACCTGTCTCAAGGAAAGAAAAAAAAAAAAAAAAAGAAAGAAAAGAAAAGAAAAGAGAAGGTAATAACTCTGATTTAACCCAAGTAGTGTTATAGTCCCTTGAGAGATAATATGAACAAAAAATAGTTAAGTAGATGGGTGTGATGCTGCAAACCTTTAATCCCAGCACTGGGGAGGCAGAGGCAGGCGGATCTCTGTGAGTTTGAGGCCAGTCTGGTCTACAGAGTGAGTTCCAGGACAACCAGGGCCCCGAAATGGGGTGGAGGGGTGGGAGGCAGGAGGCAGGGGGTGGGAGGGTGCGGTGGTGGGGTTGTTTTTTTTATTATTTTATTTTTTTAAAGAATTATTTATTTATTACATGTACATGCCAGAAGAGGGCACCAGATTGAATTATAGATGGTTGTGAGCCACCATGTGGTTGCTGGGAATTGAACTCAGGACCTCTGGAAGAGCAGTCAGTGCTCTTAACCTCTGAGCCATCTCTCCAGCCCTGGGGGGGGGGGTTGTTTTTAAAATACTAAAAAAAATTAAATGAAATTTTATGCATTTGGGTATTTTGTCTACACATACATTTGTGTACCACTTTTTTGTTTGTTTGTTTGTTTTGCTTTTTGTTTTTTCGAGACAGGGTTTTTCTGTATTGTTTTGGAGGCTGTCCTGGAACTGTCTCTGTAGACCAGGCTGGCCTCGAACTCAAAGAACTCCGCCTGCCTTTGCCTCCCGAGTGCTGGAATTAAAGGTGAGCGCCACCAGTGCCCGGCTGTGTACTTTTGTTCCCTTTGCTTGCAGAGGTCAGGAGAGGGTGTCTGATAACCTGAATTGAGAGTTACAGATCACTGAGAGCCACCATGTCGGTGCTGGGAATTTAATCCTGGTCCTTTGGAAGAGCACCTAGTGCTGTTAAACTCTGAGCCATCTTTCCAACCCTGTAACTGACTTCTTACACTTAGCAATCCCCCAACTCCTATGTACTCTCTCTTTCCTTTGAGTATGGGACAGGTTGACCTCTAACTCTCTGGTTAGCTGGGAATAGCCCATAACCTGCCTGATTCCATCTCCCGAGTCCTGCAGTTCCAGGCATGGGCCACTCTGGCAAATTTTCATAGCTGAATGTATTCCTGCAGAGGGTAGATACATTTTTATCCATCCCTTAGTTGGTGATTAACTTTCTTGGTAAAACCCAGCTTCTCTCATGGATTTCTTTTTCTCTAGGAGAATGAGTGGATTAACTTTCAGGTCAGCAAAGGGCCATTGGATGACAAACCTCAGCCGGCCACGTTCTCAAGGACCTACTGAGTTATTTGTGCCACCAAGCCCTCCTTTGGACCCTGAAAAGATCAAAGAGTTACAGCGCTTCATTACCCTTTCCAAGAAGCTTGTAGTGATGACAGGTGCAGGAATCTCCACCGAGTCTGGGATTCCAGACTACAGGTCTGAAAAGGTGGGTCTCTACGCCCGCACTGACCGGAGACCCATCCAACACATTGATTTCATCCGCAGTGCTCCAGTCCGCCAGCGGTACTGGGCCAGAAACTTTGTGGGCTGGCCTCAGTTCTCCTCTCACCAACCCAACCCTGCACACTGGGCCTTGAGCAACTGGGAGAAGCTTGGGAAGCTGCACTGGTTGGTGACACAGAATGTCGATGCGCTGCACTCCAAGGCGGGGAATCGGCGGCTGACAGAGCTCCATGGATGCATGCACAGGTGCAGGAGTGTACGGGGTTTGGCCACCAGAGGGCGTGTGGTTCCCGAGGCGAAGGGTCTTGACCAGGGTTGTCCTACTTCCAGAGCAAAGGCTTCCTGAACAAGTCCTTGACTTTGGAGTTAGGCCTAGTGAACTGAGAGGGGAGGTAGGGACAGAAGCAGGGGAGGGGGCAAGCCAAGGAAGGGTGCTCTCTGGTTTACTCGTGTCCTTGGTGTAGAGCTGGCATGTGCAAGCCTCTGGGTTCAGTTTCCCAGCAGCAGAAAAAAACGTGTGAGTGGGGCTGCATCCTGCAGTGACTTCCAGTGTAGAATAAAATTCAGAGTTATTGCAACTGTACAGAAAGAGCCACCATGAGGTGGTGAGCAGTATTGTTAACCCTGAGTTTGGGTGGAGGAAAAAGATTATTTTACCAAAAGTGAAGAAAGCTAGGGTGTTAAGGAACCGTCTCCAATCCCATCATGGTCCAGCTCACAGTTGGGGAATTAACTCCCTAACATGGTCACTTCTCCTTTCTTCTTATGTGTTTTATTGTTTGCTAGTTTGTATTGAGACAGTGTCTCTCTAAGTCATAGCCTTGGGTAACTTGTAACTCACTATGTAGACCAGGCTGTCCTTAGACTCAGAGATTCACCTGCCTGTCTCCCAGAGTGCTGGGATTAAAGGTGTGCACCATCACACCTAGACTCCTGGTTTTCCTTTTTTTTTTTTAATGTGACCGGGCCTCCTGCATCCCCAGCTGCTCTGGAACTTGCTGTATGACTGTGGATGACTTTGACACTTAGTGTTTGTGTATATTTGGCTATACCCACTTGCTGGTGACTGTGGATGACTTTGACACTCTATGTTTGTGTATATTGGGGTGTATATGTGCACACATGGGGACCTGAGGTGGAAGCGAGTGTCTAGTCTCCACCAAAGCAATCATCTGGCAGGTCCCAGGTAACCCCCCCCCCTCTGGTTTCCCCAGAGTTGAGGTGATGGGCTTTCCCTTTTACATGGGTGCTGGGCTTCTGAACCTAGGTTCTCATATGTGCATAGCAAGTGCTTTTCCAATGAGACATCTTCCTTAACCCAGCCTTGAGTTTCTGATCCTCCTGCTTCGACCTCCTGGCTGCTGGGGTTACGAGTGAGCATGGGACACCATACCGTGTCTGTGAGCTGTTGGAGAACCAACCCAGGACTTGTGCATACCAGGGAAGCACTCTGTCAACCAGCTGTGTCCCCATCCTTTAAAAGGTGTCTTCACAGGGAGTGACAGTGACAGTGACAGTGACAGTGGACAGACAGAACTAGTGGGGAGGGGCACGGGTTTGAGTACTAAGGAAATGCAGAGCATAGGTTGATGCATTAAGGACAAAACCAGCTGGGCTGGTAGTGGCGCACGCCTTTAATCCCAGCACTCGGGAGCCAGAGGCAGGTGGATCTCTGTGAGTTCCAGACCAGCCTGGTCTACAAGAGCTAGTTCCAGGACAGCCTCCAAAGCCACAGAGAAACCCTGTCTCGAGAAACAAAACAAAACAAAACAAAAAACAAAAAACAAACAAAAAAGGACACAAAACCAAGCTAGCAAAATGCAAATGGAGTAAACAAACATCAGTTCAGTGCATTGTTGGTCTGGCCCAGTGGTTCTCAACCTTCCTCAGGCTGTGACCCTTTTTTTTTTTTAAATCTTGCCTATTGGTAGTGGCGCACGCCTTTATTTTTTTAATTATTTATTTATTACGCATACAGTTTTTTTATCTGTGTACATGCATGTACCCCAGAAGAGGCACCAGATCTCATTACAGATGGCTGTGAGCCACCATGTGGTTGCTGGGAATTGAACTCAGGTCCTCTGGAAGAACATGCAGTGCTCTTAACTTCTGAGCCATCTCTCCAGCCCGCTGAGCCATCTCTCCAGCCCCAGGCTGTGACCCTTTAATGCAGTTCCTCACGTTGTGGTGACCCCCAACCATAGAATTATCTTTGTTGCTACTTCGTGACTACAATTTTGGTATGGTTATGAAATCATAGCTTAAATATCTGATGTGCAGGGTATCTGCTATGCAAAACCCTGTGAAAATGTCATTCAACCCCAAAGGGTTGCAACCCACAGGTTGAGAACCACTGCCGAAAGTTTGCAGAGGAGAGGACGAAAGTGAACATTCCTGTCCTACTAGGAAGAGAAAGTGCCTTTTTATGGGGAGTTAAAAATGGTTGGGTCTGGTTGGAGAGATGGCTCAGAGGTTAAGAGCACTGACTGCTCTTCCAGAGGTCCTGAGTTCAATTCCCAGCAACCACATGGTGGCTCACAACCATCTGCAATTCAATCTGGTACCCTCTTCTGATATGTAGGCAGAACATTGTATATGTAATAAATAAATAAATCTTTAAAAAAAATGGTTGGGTCTGCTCTGCCTGCATTATCCCACCCAGGAACTATACTTAGCAGGTCTCATATTTGCTTTTAGAGTCCTGTGCTTGAAATGTGGGGAACAGACTCCCCGCAGGGTGCTGCAGGACCGCTTCCAAGTCCTGAACCCCAGCTGGAGCGCTGAGGCGCAGGGTGTGGCCCCGGACGGTGATGTGTTCCTCACGGAGGAGCAGGTCCGGAGCTTTCAGGTCCCGTCCTGTGATCGCTGCGGTGGCCCTCTGAAACCAGATGTCGTTTTCTTTGGGGACACAGTGAAGCCAGACAAGGTTGACTTTGTGCACAGGCGTGTGAAAGAGGCTGATTCCCTGCTGGTGGTTGGATCGTCCCTGCAGGTACCTGACTCCTTCAGGGCGGCGGCTGCCCTTGCCCGTTTTACAGGGTGAGAAGTCCTAGTGGTTCCTCTTATTTGGTGTTCACGTGTGAGTGTGTGTGTGTGTGTGTGAGTGTGTGTGTGTGTGTGTGTGTGTGTGTGTGTGTGTGTGTGTGTGTGTAGGTCAGAGGACAACTTGTGGGGGTTAGTTCTCACCTTTCATCATGTGTTTTGGGAATTGAGCTCTGGCGTGGTCACAAGTTTACCTGCTGAGCTATTTTACTGGCCCCTCAGCTCCTTCTCATCTTTATTTTGTTTTATCTCTGAGGTTATGGGGTGGTTCTTTCCCTGGATCTAAAGCAAAAACTGTCTTCCATCTGGACAGGTGTACTCTGGCTACAGGTTCATCCTCACTGCCTGGGAGAAGAAGCTCCCAATCGCCATCCTGAACATTGGACCCACTAGGTCGGATGACTTGGCTTGCTTGAAGCTGGATTCCCGCTGTGGAGAGTTACTGCCCTTAATAGACCCACAGTGACCGAGGTCTGGTGCTCAGAAGCTGCAAATGGACTGTTCCCATTGAGCCCTGTTGCTAAAGGTAGACTTCTTTTCAGACAGAAGGGTCTAGCCTGGGGTAGTAGCTCATGCTTGTGATCCCAGGTCTCAGCAGGCTGATTAAAGAGGGTGGCCTGGAGCTCAGGGCCGGTCTCTATACATAGTGACTTCTAGGCTAGATTGGACCACAGGTATGAAACCCTAACTCCAAACAACAAAAACAAAACAAAAGCTAGATGACAGATTCAGTTTCCTGTTAGACTAAGGAGTCAGGTGGATAACAAAAGAGACAGTTCTAGACTTAACATATGACTTTTTTGAGGTTGTGAGCCCAGCCTTTAACAGCTGAGCCATCTCTCCAGCCCCAAGTGACTTTTTTGTTGTTGTTTTTTTTCAAGACAGGGTTTCTCTGTGACTTTGGAGCTGCCCTAGAACTTACTCTTTTTTTTTTTGGTTTTTTGAGACAGGGTTTCTCTGTGGCTTTGGAGGCTGTCTTGGAACTCGCTTGGTAGTCCAGGCTGGTCTCGAACTCACAGAGATCCGCCTGCCTCTGCCTCCCGAGTGCTGGGATTAAAGGCGTGCGCCACCAACGCCCGGCTCTAGAACTTACTCTTGTAGACCAGGCTGACCTCAAACGCACAGAGATCCACCTGCCTCTGCCTCCTGTGTGCTGGTACTAAAGGCGTGCACCACCACTGCATGGCTGTAATTTTTAACATTTTTAGAATTTTATTTATTTTTGTATGTCTGTGTATGCCTATGGATGAACAGGTATCATGGCATTTATGTCCAGGTCAGGGAACAACATACAGGAATCAGTTCTTGTCTTCTATAATGTAGGTTCTGGGGATGGAACTCATGTCCTCTGGGCTGGCCCTCTTACCCACAGAGCCATCTTGCTGGCCTTAGGTTTGTCTGTTTTGAGATAGTCTTTCTGTATAGAACAGTCTGATCCGCCTGCCTCTCTGCCTTCCGAGTGCTGGGATTAAAGGTGTGTGCCACCTTGCCTGCTCTATGCTGGGTTTTTAGTGGGTAGGCTGATGTTTATAACCTTTTCTTCCTCTCCATTGGCATTAATTTGTTTCTTTTCAGATCCCTAAGGATTCTTCCCTGACCTTCAGGCTAATGGAAGCTGATGGGTTTCATCCTATAGAGGGCGACAAAGCAGTGTCTACAGCCAGTCCCCTGCTGCATGGTGCTGTTTACAGACCAGCCGTCAGCATCCATGAGCTGGGTCCCTGAGAGCTGCCATCCTCCACAAGAAAGGCTTTTTCAAGAGGAGCTGCTCTTTTTTTTTTTTTTTTTTTTTTTTTTTGGTTTCTCTGTGTAACAGTCCTGGCTGTACTGGAACCAGCTTTGTAGATCAGGTAGGCCTTGAACTCACTAAGATGCATCTGCCTCCACCTCCCAAGCACTGGGATTAAAGGTGTGAGCCAGCATCACCAGCACCCAGCTAAGAAGCTGTTCTTGATGGCATAGCTGTGTCACCTTCCTTTTCATACCCCCAGAAGAAGAGACAGCTGGGAAGTAATAAACCAGAATGGTCTGTGGAGGGCCAGCAATGCGATCTCACAAATTCAGGGAATGGCTAGAAGGGCATCTATAATTTACCTATAATTCCAGATGGTTGTGTCTGACTGGAGCAATTTGGTATTTTGAACAATGTAAGTAATAGCATACATGAATTTTCTTATTAACCAAACAATAAATTATTTTTAATAGCACACCAAGTGTGTGGCCTGCGCATTTGTGAATATAAGTAGGAGATTTATGCTACTGTGCTGTAAGAATTTCTACTTGATGTTAGCTCTCAGAAGGGGACGCCTACCTTGAACCTGGCTTGTAAAGAGAAAACAGTTCATTCCCTGTGGGTTCTTCAGCTGGTGTGTTCCTTTGATCACTGCTTCAGTGGAAAGAATCAGTGTGCCCTGAAATGTGAGGCACATGGAAGACTCATGCTCCACTCATGCTCGCCCTGTCCGGGCCTCCGGAGCAGCCTCAGCTCACAGGGCTGTGCAGAGTGGTGGGGCTGACCAGTCATTCATTCCTAAGAGATTCAGGGTTGTGAATCTTTGTTTTGTTTTTGTTCTTCAAGACAGGGTTTCTCTGTGTAGCTTTGGAGTCTGTCCTGGAACTAGCTCTTTTAGCTCAGGCTGGTCTTGAACTCACAGAGATCCAACTGACTCTGCCTCCCGAGTGCTGGGATTAAAAGCCTTCTCCAGCCCACCCATTGCAGAAAGTCTTTTTTTCTCATTTTCACTTACTACAAATAGAGCATAGCATGGAACTGAAACTTTGGAAATAGAAGTGGATTTCGGTCTGTTTTACTACTTACTAACCAGGTGAACCTAAGTTATTTTGCGTGACTTTCAAGCATTTTTTTGAATAAATAAGCATTGACTGGTGATGTAGCAAGTGGGTAGAATGGCTGCCTGGTGACACGAAGCCCCTAGGTTAGATCCCTAGCACATAAACTGGGTGTGGTGATACATACACACATTCCTAACTCTCAGGTTGATGACAGCAGTATGAGCAGCTCAAGGTCACCATGCCTACATAGTGAGTCGGAGGCTAGCCTAACCATGTAAAAACTAAAAGTTAGAATAACAGTTACTTCAGTGGGTTTTGAAGAGTGAGTCACATAGCAGAGTATCTGGCCCACAATAAGCAAATGCGTCCACAATCACTAGCACGTGGGATGGACGGGGAGATGGAATCGATTCCGCTAACCTTTGTCCCCATGGAGTATATCTCTTGATAATCTTCCTTCCCCAGAGCCTCATTTTTCCGTTTTTGCACAGATTTACTTATGTATGTGAGTGCTTTGTCTGCATGTATCTCTGCACATCAGAAGAGGGCAACAGATCCCATTCCAGATGGTCTTGGGTTGTCATGTGAGTGATGGGAACTGAACTCAGGACCTCTGGAAGAGCAGCCACTGGATGCCCTGAGCGATAATGAGCCATTTCTCCAGGCCCCTCATTTTCTTTTTATGCATTTGAAAAGATTTATTTATTATGTATATAGTGTTCTGTCTGCATGTGTGCCTGCATGATGGAAGAGGGCACCAGATATCATTACAGACGGTTTTGAGCTACCATGTGGTTGCTGGGAATTGAACTCAGGACCTCTGGAAGAGAAGCCAGTGTTTTTAATCTCTGAGCCATCTCTCCATCCCTCTTTTTATGTATTTAATTTACAAAATAACAGACATGAAAGAGCCAAAACAACTGAAGATTCCCCCCCTTAGGAAAATATTATTCAACATTTACCACCCATCATTTTACATTCATCTTCTCACTTGTACCCCAGTCCCACACCTGTATGATATATGATATGGACGCTATAATCTCTTAAAAGATGAGGTCACTCAATAGCTGGGATGACACTTACTGTAAACAGCTTGTCTAGGCTGGTCAAAGCCCTAGGTTCAGTCAACAGCATCTTAAACAAAAACCTGACAAGCTCCAGGCATCAGCCTGGGAATCCAGCATGGGACTGATCAAGACCCCCTGAATCTGGGTGTCAGTGAGGAGGCCTAGGGAATCTATTGAGCCTTGGACAGCAGATCAGTACCCATCCCAAGTATACACACGGTCTCTGGACTCCCATAGAACAATGTGAGGTGCACTCTCACCCTGAACTCTTGGGGAAGGGTCTAGGCCCTGCCCTATATGAAATGACAGACTATGGACACCCCCATGGAGGGCCTCACCCTCCCTGGGGGAATGAGGGGATAACGGGGGGGGGGGATGGGGGGAGGGCACGGGAGGAGGGGAGGGAAAGGGAGAGGGACCTCGTACTGACTTGTGAAGCAACCTTGTTTCTTATCTAAATTTAAAATGGAAAATAAAAAAAATATTAATTAAAAAAAAATCTGAAAAAAAAAAAAAACCTGACAAGCAAGACTCCTGAAGCACCTTCCAAGTTTGCTCTCTGTTGCTGTGATAAACACCACTACCAAAAGTCGGGAAGAAATGGTTTATTTTATCGTACAGATTATAACCCATCCCTGAGAAATCACTAGAAGAGCTTTTCACAGAACACAATGAGGGATGCTTGCTTATCCAGCTCATGCTATCCAGTTTGGGGATGACACTGCCCTCAGTAGGTTGGACCCTCCTCCATCACCAGGAAAATGCCCAACAGCTGTGCACACAGGCCAATGTGATGCAGGCAATCCTTCAGGTGAGGCTCTCCCTCCCCAGTGTGTGAAGCTGACGATCGACCATTACAGGGGCTGGAGAGATGGCTCAGCTCTTAAGAGCACTTTCTGCTCTTCTCTTGAGGAATGGGTTCAATTCTCAGCAACTACATGGTGGCTGTCCAGCAATGTCTGCTGGCACAATACTATCTATCTCCCCTCTGTGTTTGACCATCTTTCCTGTTCCCTCTAACTCAGCACCCCAGCACCATTACCAGACTCTACCGGTCACTGTGCCTGTTCAGGTGGTTCCTGCTGCATCTGTTTCTCACCAAGCCTGACCTTGGGAGGGGCGAGGCCTGAGATTTGGGTGGGACAGCAGTGGGGATGGGGTGGGGGTAGAAAGGCAGAGGACTGGTCAGTTGTTCACTAAATGATGAGGCACAGAAATCAATGCAGTCTTAAACCAGACAATGAGACATTTTATTCCTACATCCTGTTTTCCAGAGAACCAGATATTAACCTGGCTGTATCTGTGAGTCCTGTGATACAGAATGCACAGGAGATGATGTGTTATTTATTTATTTATTTTTGAGACAAGTTTTCTCTGTGTAGCTCTGGAGCCTGTCCTGTAAAACTCTGTAGACCAGGCTGGTCTCCAACTCACAGACATCTGCCTGCCTCTGCCTCCCAAATGCTGCTATAAAAGTGTGAACAACCACCGCACATTTTATGTTTTTTTTTTTTGGTTGCAAAATGACTTCTGTCTACTTTAGTGGGACAATTATCCCTTGACGCCTTTTTAGGTACAGTGAAGACTCCAAGGACTCCAGGATGTATGTAATCCTGCCTTCAGGTCATTTCCTGTCAGTCCAATTTGGTTTCCTGTATCCTGCATCCTAGAAATAGTACACAGCAGAAACTCTTTGAGTTCAGTATTTTTTTTAATTTAAGTTAGAAACAAGCTTGTTTCACATGTCAATCCCAGCTCCCTCTCTCTCCCCTCTTCCCCATCCCTCCCCACCAGGCCTCCAAGTCCCCTACCCAATCTCCACTCCAATCCCCAGGGAGAGTGAGGCCTTCCATGGAGGATCTCTAGAGTCTGTCATGTCATCCAGGGCAGGGCTTAGGCCCTCCCCCATGAGGCCAGGCTGAGAGAGCATCCCTCATTGTGGCATGGGCACTCAAAGTCTATTTGTACGCCAGGGATAAATACTACCAAAGGCCCCATAGATTACCTAGACCTCCTCACTGACACCCACATTCAGAGAGTCTGGGTCAGTCCCATGCTTTCCACACAGCCATCAATCTGGGGTCCAAGAGCTCCCCCTTGTTTAGGTCAACTGTTTCTGTGGGTTAAACCAGCCCAGTCTTAACTCCTTTGCTCATCAGTTCTCTCTTTCTGACACTGGATTCCAGGAGTTCAGTTCAGTGTTTGTCTGTGTGTATCTGCCTCTGCTTTCATCAGTCTCTGGATGAAGTTTCTGTTTCCCAGACTCTCTCGAAGTGGGATTGTAGGCTGGCACTCCCCTGATTCACGTCTAAAAACCATAAATGAGTGAGGACATACCATGTTTCTCTTTTTGTGACTGGGTTACCTCACTCAGGATGGTTTCTTCTAGTGCCATCCATTTGCCTGCAAATTTCAAGATTCCATTGTTTTTTTTTCTTTTCTGTTTTTTTTTTTTTTGCTTTTTTTTTTCAAGACAGGGTTTCTCTCTATTGTTTTGGAGGCTGTCCTGGAACTTGCTTGGTAGACCAGGCTGGCCTGGAACTCACAGAGATCCGCCTGCCTCTGCCTCCCGAGTGCTGGGATTATAGGCGTGCGCCACCAACGCCCGGCCCATTGTTTTTTTTTTTTTTTTCTGCTGAGTAGTACTCCACTGTGTAAATGTATCACATTTTCTCAATCCACTCTTCAGTTTAGGGGCATCTAGGTTGCTTCCAGGCTCTGGCTACTACAAATAATGCTGCTATGAACATAGTGGAACAGACATCCTTTTTGTATGAATGTGCATCTTTTGGATATATGCCTAAGAGTGGAATTGTTGGGTCTTGTGTAGACTGATTCCCATTTTTCTGAGGAAGCTCCATACTGATTTCCAAAGTGGCTGAATAAGTTTGCACTCCCACCAGCAGTAGAGGAGTGTTTCCCTTTCTCTACATCCTCTC